ATATATATGATATATTCCATATATATATATATACATATATATATATATATATATATGATGAAAAAAAAGTCCTTTCAGGATACTATACTTTCTGAACTCTAATTGAAAGCTCTTTGCTTCATTTTATAAGTGAGTGGTGTTGGTATGAACTCACCATCAGAGGAACATTTGGAATAATAGGATTATGTGTGTGATTTAAATATAGACTATTTTGAACACCAAGAGAAAAAACAATGACACAGGGCCGGTGACGTGGACTAGCAAGTAAAGGTATCAGTCACCAAGCCAGTTTAATTCCCAGGACTCATATGGTGAAAAAAGAGAACTAACTCCCTATTTCATAATGTCCTCTGACAACTCTCACACTGTAGCACATACATTTTTACACACACACACACACACACACACACACACACACACACACGTGTGTGTGTGTGTGTGTGTGTGTGTGTGTGTGTGTGTGTGTGTGTGTGTGTGAACAATTAAAGCAGAGAGAGAGAGAGAGAGAGAGAGAGAAATGGGTGCGGAAACTTGAAACAATAATTATAGGTATTTTGAGTAATTTTGTTGTGAAGGGCATGAGAGCAGTGGGGTGGAGGCTGGGCAGGAATGTGGAATATGAAATTACATTTTGCAGGCACTGGGTATGAATCCTCTGGAAATGGAAATAGTGAAACAGAAGAGTGATCAATGCTGGTGGAATGAAGCTGAGTAGGTGGGAGAAGACGGAAACTGGGGCCGAACCAAAGGACTTTCCATCTCATTTTCTTACATACATAAAATGATTATCCCCTTCAATTGCTTCCCATTTTCCCTGTTTCATCTAAATCAATTTACAGAAGGCAATTGGAACGAGGAAAGAAATAGTGCAAAGGTCTGTTTGTCTTCCATGGTGATTTCCAGGGAGAAGTTCAAGCATGTTGCTCCGATTCCATGAGGAATCTTCCTTTCCTAGAGTGGAGAACTAGATATGCAATGTAGTCAGGCTCCAGGACCTCTATATGTCCTTGGGATAAATACACACTGCACCTTCATTTTAGTTCGTGCATGTCAAAAGTATTACAAGGTTCACGATTTGTTTCTGTATGGAAAAGCATGAGAATGTAAAAGTCCAGGTTTTCCTAATTTGAGAGATTAAAAAGAGGAAATTGGGTGCATCTGTAAAAAGCAGAATTGCTTGAAGCACGGGAGTAGTGAATTCTGCAAGGAAATTGTAGGAGGGGAAAAAGGAAGATGTCATAAAACTAGTGATGTCAAAGCTATGTAAAGCAGAGGCTAAGACGGGAGCAGCTCTAACAGCTAGACATTTACTAAGACATTGGGCTTTGGGATGGTAGCTGGAACCGGAGTAGTTCCTTCCTCAGTTGTGTGTTTCCTGGACAAATGGGAATGCACCTTTGTAGCTTTAATTGAAATTAGGGAGACAGAGATTCTTGATAAGCGATAAATAAAATCTAGTTTTTAGCTCATTATTTCTATCTTCAGGTATGCAAAAACATAACTTTCACTGTGTCTATTGTGCTGCTATGTTCTTTTTAAATTACTTGACTACGTGTGAAAATATCCACTAGCCACCTGACAGGCTTCATATCTGATCGTAGATTCCCTTGTAACTATGTTCATCAGTAATTCTTAGATTCATCACTTCCAAGTCTCCCTGAAGTGAAGATGTTAGGGTCATGTGCATTTTCTGAACTTGCAGAGGGGACATTTTATTCGACAGTTTGCTAAAGTTGGAACTGTGAAGTTGTAGCAAAGGACACATCTTTTTCCTAAAATAGTGTTTAGTCAGCAAAATGGCCTGGGTAAGCAAGCCATTTTAAGTCTCTGCTCATTGTCTTGTGTGTGAAAAGAAAAATACTGGTTGATGCCTGTACCCCTCTCTGATCTCTGATTTTTCAGGTGCTTGCTAGCCTGAGGTATTTTTCTCAGAGTAGCCACTATTTGAATTTCAAGAGGAAAGGTTCAAAGGATTTTTTAAATAGCGAGTCACAGCATTTAATTCACGTATTAAGTTGTCATTTCCTGATGTTCTCTATCAAAGTGGCAATTCTGTGTTTGTTACCAAGCAATCAAGGGGCTATGGTAGGAATCACACCAATCGCCTTGAGAATGCACCGGGAAGAGCTGCATGGCTGCGCAGAGCAGCTTTGTCACTGGCTTACTGGTGCGTTTAAGGCGTTTCCCAGCTTAGCCCAGGAGTGCCTGCTAGACTGAGATTCGGATGGATGAAGCTTGAGTGCAATTTTAGCCGATCCATTTTTCTCACTTGGGAGAGGTTCTTGCTCTTCTGTTTTTCTATAATTTAGTCTGTGCAATTGTAGTTGGAAAGGCCTCCCTGAGATTACATTGTTAATAGTTGTTAATATGCTGGAGGAGGTTGCTAGGCACGGCCCCACTGACAGTGGTAGCACTGTCCCTAGAATGGAAATGTCACCAACTTTTGAACCTTGATTCGAATGTTGGCTTCTCAACTTTGAGCAGGACTATTTAGAGACTTTGCATAAGTTATGAGAAGAGAATCTTATTTCATAAGACACTAAGTATAACACAGATCCTGCAGTCTGGAGACAAATAAAGCCTCTACAGAAGATTCAGAGTGGTGACATATGACTTTAATCCCAGCACTTGGGAAGAAGAGACAGGTGGATCTCTGGGAGATGGAGTGCAGTCTGATCTACATAATAAGTTCAAAGCCAGCCAGGGCTACATAGTGAGACCATGCCTAAAAAACAGCCCTCAGCACCACCCCCAACAAACAAACAAACAAAAAACTACTTTAGTGGAAAAAAATCATTTTGGGACATTTGGGACATTTACTAAATGTACCTCACTAAAATGCCTTTGCTGGCCTGGAACTCAGGGGTCTCCTTCCTAAGCCTCCTGAAGCAGGGGTTAGAGCTGTGTATCACCACGACAGACAAAAGTAACAAATTTATATGGTGTTTAAACTCACCATTAAGTAGGGGAAACTAGTTCACTGGACTGTTTAGGAGAATGAGCCATATATTAAAGTCTTAAATAATACACAGCCCACTATATTTCTGAATGTATTCAATGTTTTCATATTAAATGAAAATTCTTTACCAAATATGTGTGGTTATTTTGAAAAATATATACAGCATAGTGAAAGGTAGTACAGTTATTATATAGCATTTTGCCTACATTATTATTATTACTATTATTATTATTGTTACTTTATTATTAGAGACTATCTCACTCTGAGGGCTTAACTAGTATGTAGACCAGGCTGGCCTAGAAATCACAGAGATATGCTTCTTGCCTATGCTTTCCAAGTGCTGGGATTAAAGGCATGCACCACCATGCCCAATGCCTATATTATTTTTATGGGACAATTTATAGGTAACAAGTGTCAGCAAGTAATGAGTTTCCTTGTATCAGCTAACATCCTATGGAGAAAGGCATGAATCCACTGAGACCACACTACCACTGTGAGATTCCGAGATTAAACAGATAACATTATGTTTCCTGTGATTTTTAGAAGCTCTCATTCTTTCTATTGAAGTGTTTCTTGCTAGAAGTGTTCCAAATCCGTGTCTTCAAACACAGTGGTTTACTAACTGAGAAAAATGAGGTTCACCTGGAGAAAATTTTAATTGCTCTTTTCTAGTTGCTTTAGAAAACATGAAGGACTGGAGCTTCCCACAGCCTCTCTCTGTACGAGCAGATAAACTTCAGGAAGGCAAGTGACAGGAATATTAATGGAATTTTAATTTTCTTTCGGTATTCTGAATATTTGCCCAAAAATGAAAATTTTGTTTTTATGAGATTGACAAATACTTCCTGAGTATTTGTCAGACAGCTGTTAAGACCTCTGCCTTTCAGGCACTAACAGCAACTGGGGAAAACATTGAAAATACTACTCATAACCTGGCATCCAAAATTCCAGCAATAACTTCACTTTAGAGACTTCTTAAAATATATAATAACAGGACATTCAAAAGTATATAAAGTTAGGAATACTTAAAGTACACTGTAAAAAGCCACCTCTCAGCAACAGAGCAGTTCTACTGTATTGAATACAAACATTAGGATTTACAGAGTAGCCTCTACGGCAGCTCAGAACAGTTGGTATTTATTTCCCCATGACCACACACAGTGTTAGCAAACATAACACAACTACTGTTGACTGAAAATAAACTCTTGCATCTTTAGAAAAAATAGAAATCAGGGATTTGTATTTTGAATAGACTAATCATACATTTGGAGCTTATTTTTAACATGTTTTAAAGGTACAAAGAAATTTCAGTACTTTAGAAGCAAAGGGATTTGTATATTCCTTGTGTCCTTTACCACCCACCACCTTCAGAGAAAGTGAATTTCTGTAAAGAGGGGAATCATGGTCTCTAACAATAGCTTTATTGTGAACTAGTGACGTCTCCCAAATTTATCTTAATTTTATTTTAGTCAAATTTCTCAACTGGATTGATTCCTGAGTTCTTCTTAAGGCCAATTGCAAAAACCTTATTTGTGAAAAACTAGAAGTCCCACTGTTTTGAAAATAAAAACAAATGAGAAACCAATGTAGGATCACTTAACAGGCAAGGATGATGTTGAACGTATGGTAGCAGATGATTTTACAACAATTTTAAAATGAAGAACACATTTCAGGGCTAAATTTGATAATATGACCATATAGTAATTGAGATGGCCACAGTTTGGGGGAACCTTCAAAATTTACAGGCAATTTTATGTCAGTGAGATTTATATGTGTTCCATACAAAGTGAATAATAGTCATAATTATAATGAAAATTAACAAAATATATTATTGAAAGTAAGGCTTTAAATGCCCCCAAAGTCCACAGCTCAAATTGCTTGGTGTATCTAAGTTAATTTTTAAAGAACCAGAAGTTCCCTTTAAAGTTCTTTCACACCAATGTACACAGCACAAGAAACTAACTTGGCTTTTTAGACCTATAATAGCAAGGATAGAAAATGGGACATTTGGTGAAAAGAATACTGATGGATAAAGGCACAGGGTGATATAGAGAGGCAGATTATGACAAAAGAGAATGAGAGAAAAATACTAAGACACAGCAAAAAAATAATAGGAGTAGTCACTGACAAAGAGAAAAGCTATCAGTCATTTTAGAGCACTGATCCTCTTAAACACAATTCTCCTTTTTGTTAGTTTAGCTTGAAGTTCACATTCCCCACATTTATATTAAAGAACAGTTTGTTCTTTAACTATCTTTAATTTAAGCAATGCCTTGAATTAAAAGAAAACCACTGCTATGAACTGCTTTGAATTTCATTCTGTGTTGTTAACTTAATACACTATTAGAACATTTGCCAATTAAAACATTGACTATTAAGATTATTGAGACTATCCATAAGCCCCGGAAAAAGAAGAAACCCCTAAGGTTTTTTTTTTTTTTTTACCTGCCTTAACTTTCTTATCGAGTCCCACTGACAATAGCAGTTGCTCCAAGGAAACAAAAGCAGTCGTTTCTTGCACCTCATTTCTGCTACATGTCCCTGCTTCTTTGCTGAAACAGTGTGTTATTGTCAAAAGGTTCTGAACTGTTCTTCAATTATCTGAGAAAAATCTACAGCCCAAAGCAAATATTTACCTTATGCCTACAAAAAAAATAAGACACAAAGAAAACCAACAAAACCCCATAACCCAAACCCCAGATACTTAAAAGCCAGTTCACCCAGAGCCTTACCTATAAGAAGAAAGTATATTTTGCACAGAAAGATCCCAGCCATGCTGCTGAGGGACTCCATGAAAGCATCCTGTCCCATGCATGCGCGCCCTGTTCTCAGTGGCAAGTTGGTTCATGGACCAGCAGCTGCTGGTTTATTTGCTAGGGAAATTAGCAGTGAGGTAACAGACCCTATCCTGCCTCTTGCTTCTGTGATTTGAATACAGAATGAATGTGTATACAAAGGACACAGGGAGTAGGAACACCTGTTATATGCTTTGCAAGAACACAGGGCTGTGGCTTTCAGAACACTTTCTAAATGATTCTCAGTAATTTTTCAGTGTAGTTTTATAAATTATACTGAGTTATTCATAATCACAAGGATGAGGACAATCTTGTCGGGTGACCACTTGATAAATAAATGCCAAATCTGGTTTCCTGGCATGAAAAAAATATGTCATTGTTTTGAAATTTGATTATTTTCTATTGAAAATTGAAGCTTTTTAAAAATGAATTTACCATGTAGCTATTCATCTTCCTGAAGTTACTGATTATCATGTAAAGAGTATACCAAAGAACCAAAGCACACCACTAGAGTAGTTTAGTGAATTTTTTCTTTGTTATATTTTCTACCATAAATAGATGTGATAGTTTTATTGAATCTATGGATTCACAGATTTTAAAACAAATTGCAGGCAAGGTTCTATATGGGAATGAGGCATGCATTGTGTATAGTTATAATGTATAGTGTATGCTAACAGATAATAACCTGACACCACATTTTCTCAGTTGAATCTTAGAGGAAGTGATCCAGCAATCCATAAAAGTCTTACTTGTGTGTTCTGGCTTCATATTCCCATCCCAGCTCCTTTCCTCCTGTCACTGTCATGGAAGTAGATGGTCTGAGAATTTTTGCTTAGTATGGTAAATTGTGAGCTACCATTTTCAAGAAGGCTCTGGCCCAAGCTTTCTGCATGAAATGGAACACACACACCCACACCCACACCCACACCCACACCCACACCCACCCACACCCACACACACACACACACACACACACACACACACACAGCCAAAAGCAAAATAAATCCAAAAAACTCCTGACTTAAAGCTAGTAGGACACTCCATTGAAAAAATTCAATTGAGAGGAGGAAGGCATCGGCTTTCATTTTAACTGCTTAACCAAAGACTGTTGTTAAAATGTTATTAAAAATTAAAAAATGGCTATTCTGGAAACCAACTTTGGAAATATTCTTTGCACTAAGGCTCCCAACTTGTTGAGAAAGTGTCTAAAGTCAAAGGTACTTGTAGTAATATATTATTTATGATTCATTAAGGCTTGACTGAGGATTCAGAAAAGCAAAGTCAGCTACAAGCCAGAGAAGCCAGGCACACACCTTTAATCCCATCAGCCAGAAGCTAGGAGGTGGTGGTACACACATTTAATCCTAACACTCAGGATTAAGAGGTAGATGGATCTCTGAGTTCAAGGCCACCCAGGGATACATGAAATTGAATCAGTCTAAAAGAGTAACAGAGGTTATGTCTTTAATCCCAGCACTAGATGGGTATAGAAGACAGGAGCAAGATTCAGTATGAGGCATTCATTCTCCAGCCACACTGAGGAGAAGCAGCAGTTTGGGACTTGGTGAAAAGCTCGTGTGTGGATCAGCCCTTTCAGCCTGAGTTAGAGGTGAGAGCTAGTGGCCGACTGCTTTGCTTTGCTGATATTCAGCTTGAAGCTTGAACCCCCATATCAGTCTCTGGATCTTTTATTAATTCCTGTTACAGGAACTACTGTTGGGAAACCCAAGTCCTTTATAGAAGTCAGTCGTTTTACAATTCTCCATACCTCAGAAATATTTCAATCACATCCTCAGCTCTAAACAATGACTACAAGTTTCTCTACACTCTCTAAATCTTACACACACATCTATGGCAATGTTAACCATATTTACTTCAGTTCATTTGCTTAGCTGTGTACTTCTCAGATGCTTGACTACAGAGAACGTTCTTAGTCATTGATAGTTGGCACCTAAGCATTGTGCTCATTTTTCGTAACATGCTTCCCCAGAAATAAACTCCTTGTGCTCTTTAACTTAAGCTGTCTTCTCCATAACTGTTTCACAGCAAATGCACTCAAACTTTCATATTGGACGGTGAAACATCCAATTGGAAAGAGACACAGGACTTAAAACATATCATACAAGCTCCCTCACTCCATTTAGATCAGTCTTAACACAAGCAGCTCCTATTAAATAAGATCTTTATAGTGTCCTCAAACCAAAGGATGGTTTGTTATGAGGGCTCCAGGCTCCTTGCCAAAATGTCAGCAACAAAGACAGTATAGTGGGGTTTTTTCTAGTGTCAAATGAATAGCATATAAAGGATTTATAAAAATTTCAGTATCTTCCTCATTTATATTAAAATATACATATTTGTGACAGAAGGAAATAGTAGGTGTTATAATAATAATTTAAATACCAGAATGAACCATGATTGTGCTCTTTTTCCTGTTAAAAATTTTGCAGTGCTTGAGTTGTACAAGGACTGCATACCTTGACCAAGCGCCCTCTAGTGGTTCGTTCGTAAATATAACTGCTTGTGAGAGTAATTTGTGAGTTCAGGAAATCTACACTGAAGTCACAAAAGCAAATTTAATTTCAGGTGCTGCCAAACAGACAGAATTCTTTAAAATAGTACCAAAGAGTTTTGTCAGTATAAGAAAATTCTCCCAGACACATGGCTTCACTGGGAGGCAGAGTCATGTAGATCTCTGTGAGTTTGAGGCCAGCCTGGGCTAGAGTGAGATGCTGCCTGGGACTCAGGGCAAGGGTAGGATGGATTGTCTCACCACAGTATTTTATAGCAAGTTGATAATCTACTAACTGGTTTTGCTTTTTAAAAAAAAGGGGTGTGTGTATATCCTCACTGATTTCTGGTCGTAGTTATCGTTGTGTTAAAAATGATTAACCTAAAACAATCTCTGTCTATGATGATTAGGGTACAATTGTTTTCTGACCTCTTCAGTAACACATAGTAAATTATAAGGCTGGTTTTGTTTTACACAATGGACATCTACTACATGCATTTCAAGCAGCAATATTCTTTAATACAGATCCCTTAATGGAATTATTTACAATAGCAAAAGCAGCAGAGGACAGTTGGTGACATAAGATGACATGAACGGTTGTATATAAGACGAATTGGGGAAGGAAAACATTTATTATAATTAACACTGTAATTACATTTGATACTGAGAAGTTGTACAGTCTGCAGGAAGAGTAGACCACTGGAGGAGGCAACTGCAGATGCAGATTTCCGGGCTGGAGTCCAAACCTCTGTACAAGTCAGGTTGACAACTGCTGCCTCCCAGAGGGCCCATGTCGTAACAAATGTTAAACTGGTGTAGTTAAAAGGCATTGGTGTCATGATTTAGGAATCGCTCCTCAACACAATACATGAAACCTTTAAGTATCTGCATTAATCTTAGGTAAGTTCTTTAATCTCTCCACACCTGATTCATCATTTTTAACATGGAGATAATTGTAACTCCATAAGGTACTCAGGCATATGGGCTTGGGTGTGTGTTTCTTTCTTTTTTATTTTGTTGTTTGTTTTTTTATTCATTTGCATGTTATTTTATTTCTAGAGAGAGAAAGAGTGTGAAGTTGGTGGGTGGGGCCGATCTACAATGAGCTGGAGGAGGGGAAACCTGATCCGAAAATATTGTATGAAAAAAAAAAAAAACTGTCATTAAAAAAAGGAGGAAAAGCTTCTCCTGCAGATATATGAGGTCATGCACATGAAGCCATTCCGATTTGTAAATCTTCAGTGTTACTTATTTTTTTTATCAGCTCTGATCTTGCCCCCCCCCCCCATAGTCTCATAATTTGAAATCCTTATAAAGTTGAGTCTCCGAAGCTCCCCGGTTACTTTCTCCGCTGTAACCACTAATGACCGGAGATAACTTTACAGTGACACATGTTCTCCCAATTACTGACAAGACTTGCCTTTGCTTAAGCAGGTAGAAAAAAAAAATGATAGTTGGGGATTAGACGAAATCCTTTGATTTCATTAGAGCTCTCTACAGGGAAGGGCAAGAATGAAGAAGCGCCTGAGGCTGGCCATCAGCATCCTAGGGTACCTGTCTCCCCCTTTCCTCGGGCCACACCCAGGGTCTAGGACACTGGTCCGGGTGCTCTCTCTGGAGGGCAGTCTCACGTTCTCATCCTCCCACCCCTTCCTCTCGCACTCCTAGAGGGCGTCTTGTCAGTCTGGACTATCTACGGTCTCCTCAGAGTTTGTTTAGCTGAGCCGCCAGAACACCTAGGTCTCAGGTATCCGCCTCGCTTAAGCCTTTTCCAAGCACAGGTTCAGCGTTGCTTGCTGGGAAATGTAGTTAACCAGGTTACTGCTCTCCTTCTGCGATTGCAGCCGGAAGACTACACTTCCCAGCATCCTCAGCGAAAGGAAGGCTGACCCAGGCGGGCAGCTCCACGTGACTACTCACTATGGCTTCCCTGTGTTGTAGCCGGCTGTCTGGTGGTCTTGTGTGATTTGTTACTTCTCTGCGGCGGGGTAATCCTCTCTCAACCTCGACATGCAAAAAATCAAATCTCTAATGACCCGGCAGGTGAGTCCTTGTAGTCTGAAGCAAAGAGTTCCTTCCTTCCGGCTGGGAGAGGAGCAGAGTTCCCAGTCCCCGGGCAGAGGTGGGCGGAGGCTTAAGTTCTAGGGGGTGGCGGGTCTCGGGGGTGCTGGGCAGCTAGGTAGTGCCTGGAAAACTCACCCGAGCCTCCTTGATTCGACCTCGACTCTTTGTGGGTACTGTCCTCCTAGACACAGTCATCTAGATAAGGCCAGCCAGTGCTGTCTTTGTCGCCCCTCCTCTGCCTTTGCTGTCTTTTGCAGGATCCCTCCTCATCCTGACAGGCGGTGGTTTGCCAGTAGGTGTCCTGGGAAGGGAGGTGGGGTCTGTGCAATAGACAAGACGGCAAGGTGGAGGAGCAGGACTATTTGTAGGCAACATTGGTAGCGTTGTGGTTCGGGGGCAACTCTTCCAAACCTTGTAGCTGTTTTCCGGATGTGAAAATGAGA